TTCATGATAAAGATATTGATGCATGGTCAAGGGAGGACATTATAATTGGGGATGAAGGCAAAAATTATGATGATGATACGAATGATGATAGTGAACAAATGGATTTTGGAACAACTAATGTTAGAGATAATATAGCTGATAGGATTTGGGAGCAATATCAATTGTACCGGTTTGATGCTTGAATTTTAAGTTGTTGTGTATTTGATTTTGTTTATTTGACAGTACATGATGCTGACTTTTAAACATGGTTTTGGCATGGCTAACTTTCAGTTTGATGCTTAACTTTCAATTGACTTAGATGAAATCAACATTTTTTTTGAATTGCATATATCATGCTATATGAGCTTGCATGAAAAAATTAATTACATTTAATCAAATAAATGTATATTTTATTAATAATTTAGTTTCAAATATTATTTTATTTTATTACTTATGAAGTTTTGAATATTTTTTTGTTAATATTAATAATTGTTTATAATTATCATTAAAAATAGTATTTAGTATTAAATATTATTAATTAATGTTAATATTATTTTTAATTATTAAGTTTTGAATATTACTTTTATTAATATTAATTGTTATTAATATTATTACTTATTATTAAATGTTATTAATATTGTTATTTACTATTATCAAATATCATTAATGTTACTATTCATTTATTATTATTATTAATATTAATTTTATTAATTATTAACATTCTTAGCAATTTACTATTATTATTAAATTGTGTATATTACTAAAAAATAAAATATTGTTTTTTAATTATTAATGGCATAAGTTATCTTAAATGTTGTAGTTGAGATGCATGGAATCAAGCACAAAGTGTGAACATCCATAGAGGTTTGGTGTGAATTGATCCACACATTTTTCTTCACAGTATAAAACAAATACCCTGTTGGGATGTGTTGTGTTTTTCTGTGATGTGGATTAGAACACCCCCTTAACTAAAGTGGGATAACCAAGAGACTGTCCAAAATCTGTTTGGAAATTTTTAACCAATTGTTTTCCTCCGAATATGCCATATCAAATAGTATGTAAATCCTCCATTTTTTTCTCATGCAGTGCATTAATAACAAGTATAAAATTTGTGTTCTGAAAAGAAGGTAGAAATGAATAGACCTCCTTAGGTTATTGAGCTGAAACTTGGTATGGGGAGATGGTCAATATGAATAATATGTGAGACTGAGATTGCAATTTCTGCAACCAATTGATCTTAAACTAAAAGATCTGCTTATGGTATTAGAAATGAAAATTTTCTACATGCTGCTAAGAAGATTTAAAAAAGAAACAAAAATAAAAATAGTCTCATCGTTGTCGGTTGCTCCAAACGATAATGAATCTAACCCAGTAGTTTAAATGTTATTAATCACTTTCATTCCGAAAGCAACTTCATAACGAAGCCACTATTGTCACTAATAATGATTATCCTTCTTTATGACATTGTACCTATATAAATACAAATAGAGACAAAAGAAAATGACGAAAGTGGTTTAATTTTGTCTTGACTCGAAAGGTGTAAAGCCAAAGCCCAAAGGTTCTCATTTCTCATCTCAACATATTCAATATATTCATATATATTCATAATCGGGATAAGGCTTAAATGATGATGATGATGATGATAACTCTAAACATCCCCAGCTTTGTTTGCTATTGATCATTTCAAAAGAGCTGTTTGGAAGAGGTTTGTTCTCTCATTAAAGTGATAAGACTTATTGTTTCTTTGTTGTTGTAAATTATCATTTTTAATTATGTTCCTCAGAGTTTAGAGTGTGGTCAAGTATATCACAATTATGTTCACAAAAACTATCATTTTTAATTCTGTTTGATATCCTCTAGATGTTGCTAAAGAAGAATCCTTTTCCCATTATTATCATGTTAAATGACAACTTATGAATCAAAATGTCGTGGTTTTTTAGCTTTTTGTGAAAGGTTTTTACGTTAAAAAAGTTTTTACATTTAAATTGTGATATACTTGCATGATTCTTTAATTTGGCTTGTATATCAGCTATTCCACTGCCAAATAAACATAGGTGCTATAAGCCAAAAGTCTGTATTTTACCAATTCAGCACCATTTAAACAACATACTCCAAACCAATATGCAAAGTGTTTGAGATATATCCGGTACTCCGTAGTCCATATTTCACTTATTTTGAAGTATTCTGAAGAGGGATTCTAGAGACTAGCTAGTGTATTCAGGAGTTTCTGAATACTTCTTATTTCTTCATATGTATCGATCTATTCGACAAGGATAGGGGTGCCAATGGATCATGTTTGGGCTGTACCCGTCTAAATCAAAATCAATTTGAATAGATTGGATGAACCAATAAGACATACTGAATTGGACCAATCTCGACTTGATGAATCAAAGTATTTATTGGATTGGATTGGACCAATATCCAGTCCATTGACATAAGAAAAGAATATGGGTGTCAATAGATCAGGTTTGGGTTGTTGGATCCTATCTAAATTAAAACCAATTTGAACAGTTTGGAGGTTCCAAACATTGAATTGGACCACTTCAGAATGGAACAAAGTATTCAACAGATTGGAGTGGGCCTGGTCTATCTGTAATGATCTCATACTGGACTGGATCGGGTTGGACCAATATCCAGTCCATTGATAGCCCTAACCATGACCCCCTCTTATGGCTTAAAAATTCCCACAATCCCATTTATATTTCACTTATATTTTCGTCTATCTATCTATGTTTATTAACTACCCCCATGTTTATAAGTTCTGGCTTGGTTCCGGGAATTGTCTCCTAACTTCTATTCATTAAAAGACAAAGCAATAAATAATTCAGTGAAACCACTTAAATCATTACCAATTAATGGCCCCTAATAAACATATTCTGAGTTTCACCTAAAATCAAGTGTTTTTTTGACAATCAACCTCCTAAAATCATTACCACTTAATCTTGTTCACAGTTGATGAGTTAGATCCATGAGTTACAAGTCAAGGACCCAAATGTGTAGCAACCTTGTTGTCTTGTAAACCATGGAGTAATCCTTTCATCTCAATTCTCCAAAGAAGAGAAAGCACTAGATGTTGACAATGTTCGAAGTATCAATAGCTACTGTATTATATCGTATCGGTATTATATATATAGATTAATAAAACAATGAAAGTTAGGAGATTTTAATAATTTAAAATGTTAATGGCCATCCTGATATATTTCCTGTGAAATATCAAATGAAAGGAAAAAGAGTACTTGTTGAAAACTCAGTTGGTCCCATTGATGAGTTATATTATAGCATTTGCATGCAGTCTGCAACTTAATTATTTCCGATCTTGTATATTCTAAAATTTGTCTTTGCAGTATTAGAAAACTTAGGGTTCTACAATGTGATTTTTTTTCTTGTTGCCGTTTCAAAATCCAAAAACAGACTGTTTCTTAAAACAAAATTACAAAAATCCTGTTATTGGTTGTGTGTTTTTTTATTTCCAAAATTATAAACATGTTCTTGAATCCGGTTTCAAAAACATTTTTTCATCTGATTATTCAACCCTATGTTCTATAAATCATATAATTTCTATACTGGAAATTTTCTTTTTGTTTTAGAAACCTACGTTTTTGTTGGTTTCAAAAGCATGTATTGTTTTTTGACTAAAGGAGTACTTAAGAACATGTTTTTGTTTTTTTGATAATGTGACAATTCCAAAAACAAATTAAAATAAAAACATCCATGTTAATTGTACAACGCCCCCTTAGTTTCTCAATAATCACTTAATGCTCCAAATCCTTTCAATGGATTTCCTCTCCCTAAAAATGGTAAAATGTGATGAAAGAGGTGATGGGTACATTAAAAGTTGATGCAAGAATGTAAAAGCGTAGCATTGATTGTAATTATTTGTAGACTCTCTCATGAAGCAAACCTAAATTTGATATGGTCTATCACATTGGCACAGATGCTTATAACGATGGCTGTTTATCAACTTAATATGAAAAGTTTAATTTTCATGGATGTCCTCAACGTGAGAGAGGGATAGGGGGGGAGAGGCTTAGCACCCACTCTTCTAAATTTTTATTTTTTTTCTTATTTTTTGATCGATAATAAATAACTTTCATTAAAAATTAAGGTTTATGTACACCAATGGGAGATAAACTATCTTAACTCCCCCAAGAGAATCTGAAATCCACTCAAAAGAAAATGAAATATGCAATTATAAAGATTCCCTATTCATCCCTTATTTGGTTAACCTATGAGCAAAAGAATTTGCACTTCTAACAAAAAAGAAATTTTGAATACCATTTTGATTCAAAACCTAAGAACATCTCCTTCATTCTATATCACGGTCAGCTCAGTTCTGAATCTAAGGTCCCACCATGGAAGAAACCAGACCCTTGCACCCTTGCATGACCCTTAGATCCCAGGAGATCACATCTACAAGAGATTTTCCATGGGAAAACCAAAGCATAAATCCTAACATAGTTCTGACCATACCAGAGTAAACTCAAATGATGAAGAAAACAGAATAGAATAGGATACAATAATGGAAATAAAAAAACTACCATAATCTGAATCGCTTTTTGACAGCATGCAAAGCAGAATGCACCACTCTGCTGCCTGCTGTCTTTCCCTAGAATGTGGTTTCATGTATCTCATAACCAGAATCTTAAAGTTGATGTGGTTAATAAAGGCCTTTGGCTGAGTTGGATCAAATCAAATATAAGGCCTAGACCTAGTAAACTTTCTAACTATTATTCCTTTCGCAAGAGTAACTGCTTAGAGCAAGAATTTAAATGGAATTATATGAAAGGTGACTTTTACACTGAAATCCAGCAAATATATCCCATTAAAGGAACTGAGAAAATTGATACGCCATTGCTCCAGAAAATGGTGACATATCAGTGCCACATTAAAATAAATCAGTGCTCCAAAAAACAGTAATCCATACAACACCAAATTTGAGGCTTTCTCAATTTGAATCTCGTTGCTGCCAACAAGAACATAATGTGGCAGTGACGTAAACTTCCTATAATGGGCAGTAGTACTGAAAACAAATATGGAGAACTGGTATCAAACAGGTGTTACTATTGCCCCAGGAATCGTCCTGACAGCAACGTTTCCAAACAAAAAACACATTTTCCAACCCGCATCAGAAAACGAAAAAGGTGCTGTATATGCAGCATCAATGCCAAACACAAAAGCCTTTCTTTTCATTCTTTGGATAACTATTAACTAAGCAGAAAGATACATAAATTAGCTTCAACAAAATAACTACCACTTTTTACAATTGGATATTACATTCTTCAGTAATCTAGGTACACTCCAAATTCTTAAGAAATGGAATGCCTTTGTCTTGAGGAGGACACGGATGACTTGGTCTCCCCAGGATTCACTGATGTTGGGCTCTGAGAACTCCCAGATGTATCAGAGCTTCTGTTCTCATGATGTCCTCTACCGCCAACCCACAACTTATCGAAGATCCTCCTTGATCGAGATGGCAACAATGCACCACCTCTATTTTTGCTACCCTTCTTGCTTTTCTTCTCCCCATTTTCCTGGCAATCTTCATCATGGATCTTCATGTGATTCATCTGTTTCTTGAGCAATTTGTAGTCCTCTGTGTCTGTCCTATTCCAATCCTCCGTGTTGGTCGTAGATTGTGAACTATCACGAGATACATTTTGTGGGGCATTGTATCCCGCTGAAGCTGCTTTGACCTGCTCAAAGAACAGAACCTGGACAACCACACGGAGTGGGAGACGCTCATTCTGTGCTGCATGCATGCTTGCTTCCATTGTCAGCTTCTTGACATCCATCAACCCACAAATGCTCTTTTTCTCACCTTTCGTCAAATTGGGATGCTCCTGAAAACAAAATAAATAATCAGATATTCCATAATTGTAAGAACATTGTCCCTATACTCCCTCATCTCTGCTCCACGTTTCAGATATTCAGAAACTAGAACCATAGGAAAAAAAATAATACCATGGCAGCATCTTTCCCTCAAACCATATTAGTAATTTCCAATATTATATCATATTCCTGACAAACTCAAGATAGAAATAAAGCTTACCTTCAGGTAGAGGTCAACTGCCTTGTATAACCCATCATGAATTGGTCTAGCTGAATCAGGAATTGATTTTGCCAGACTAGTGAAGCTAGAGAGTGAAAGGTTTGGATCAGAAGCAATCTCAGCAAGATACCCATCAATCAGTTTGCCAACTTTCAGCCAGGAACCTCGTCCTAAAACAAAATCTTCACCTTTCTCATTTTTCTCAATGTAACCCAAATCCCGAGTACATTGATTTTGCATCAAAAACCGATTCACAATGTTTTGCACCAGCTCAACATCATAGACAGTAGTGTCAGGAGAACGGGCAGGAATCATCAAATCACCTACTGATGCTTCATCCAAATGTAAACTGATCCTCTTTACAAGCTCTTCCCTTGCTGCATCACCAGCTCCAACCAAGATGGCAACTTTCAACAGTTTTAGCAGAAAACTACACAAACAGCCAACACCCTTATCAGAAGGCAGCAACCAAATGATTGTTTCCACTAAAGACCTATACCTTCGGGTATAGTCATCAGAAACCAGGGCATCAATGGAATCAGGCAACCATCTGATGGCATAAACCTTGAGAGCCTCCCCTATCACATCTCCAGACATTCTTCCCTTTGATTTTATAGCAACCATCACCCGCTTGTACAGATCAATATCTAGCTCACATATATCTTCAATCCACCAGTCTTTGGGAACAGATTGTATTCTCTGCTGTAATCTGGTCCCATGCTCAGTAATCTCTCCCACTGCTAATTTTCGGTTATAGGTATATGACCAGTTGACACTGGATGGGTCTACAGATGTCTTGGAAGCAATGGAATCAATACATCTACCTACAACTTTCAGCTCTTCGGCCCATGGTAGAAGAGACTTTGTTGTCTGGAGGACAATAATAGAATCTTTCCAACTGCGGAAGACACTGGAATTTAGAAAAACTTCAATTTTAAAAATTAAATTCCCACGATCAGCATCCTCTGTCATCTCAAGATACTCCGCTGCACATCGAGCAGCAACAACATTGTAAGCATTGAGGGTTACTATCATTCCATAGCAGAATTTAGCACAAATCTCAAAGGCTTTTGGTCCGCCTGGAAAATCAACAATGTGAACTTCATCAGTGTTCTCCTCGTTGGCTTTCAGTACCAGCTTTTGCAAGCGATTGCTCTTGGACAATAGAGGAAACTGCATACAGTGATTATTCTTCAAGAGTCAGCTATAAAATGAATGCCATTTGGTTGTGAAATTGACCAAAAAAGGAGAGAGAATCATTAACAAAATTTGCACGACATTCCTTTCTGGAATGCATTTACAAATGTTCAATTAAGTGGTGCACACATGGTCTGTGTATCGGCACTTTCAAACCACATGCCTTTTATTTTTCTTTTAGTTTATTTTTTCAAATTTCAGTTTTAAGACTGCTTTGATATATATTATTTAATAATAAAAAGGTTCCCAAAAACATCTGCAAACAGGTGTCTTGGCCAACTTTTGAACCTTGGGTGCACATTAGGTAGTATCTTTATTCATAATGCACAAAATGTAGCTGGCAAATGAGAAAACCTAAGAAGCTGTATTTTTTGTATGCATTCAATATTTGAGTGCATATTGCTTGCCATTTTTTTGCAGTGATTCGAATCTACTTGAAACAAAATGTTTTACCAACACCTAACTAGCTTTCTTTTGGAGGAAAACAATACTAATTTTATAGAAATTATCAGATTCTTGCTTCACTATACCAAATTCCTACATTTCCATGCGAGAAAGATTTTATCTGCAGAAGTGTCACCTCAATTTCCTGACAATCTTGTTGAGCTTCCAGAAGTTATATTGGAAGACAACTAACAACTCTAATTACATAGATCAACTTCTTTCCATGAGAATAAATAGAAGAAATCTTACCTTATGGAGATAAAACTTTATATCCCCAACATTTATAACAATGTCGGTTGTCAGCTCAGATGCTACATATCTGCATGAATGTTTTAACCATGTCAGGTAAAGGAGGCATTGCAATAGATAGCTGGGAAGAAGATTCATGAGTAAAAATAGCATAGGAAATACTTTAAAATTGCAAGCTGCAAAAGGAAACAAAAGAAATTTTGATTACTAAAATCTATGTACTTTCAAGTAGACATTCTAGTTGCCTGTCTAATTCAAAAATTCCAGATCTCTAGCTGAAATGTCAGAACAATCTATTATTTCCATAATTATAACAAAAAAGAAACTAGCAATTTATTCAGGCCATGTAACAAGACCATTTTCAGAAATGTGTGCATGTCAAATTATTTCACAATCACACCACAAACATGTGCAAACACGTTTTATATTAAGGATGATGTCTATTTTATGTGCATATTTGAACATCCATTTAGACAAAACAGGTTCTATCATGCATATTCAGTTCTCATCAATTCCAATTGAAGGGTTGCATGAACCATTCCAATACATCACGTATTCACGTAAAGATGAACGCATACTATATCTGCATTCCATTTTTTGTTGAGGAACATGAGTCTGAAATACGCATCTAGCTGGTGAAAATACATGTTTCAGGCACATGATAAACGGTGAGCTTCATTCAGCTAGGAGATACGTTCTAAAGGGAAAAACAACAACTGACACATAAAAATTTGAGAAAACTTTTGTTTTATTCAAAACATCAATCAAAAACCCTTTTACCTGCATTTAATTTGTGTAGGTGGACAGTATAAAAACATTCCTTGAATTTTCAATTTCTCAAGGTCCTTTTGAAATTATAACATTCTTTTTAATGAATTCCTAAAATGCATATTAATATCATAAAACTTGCAAGCTGCTCCTAGCACTAAATATGGTTGTATCTAGGAAAGCTATGTGCTCTAAGAGACCAGGAAATTCATGGTGTTGATTATACACATTTCATACCATGACCCACTTTACCTTCTTATGTTTGCTTACTATGCAAAAAATAAAATAATCAACGTTTTTCTCCTTTGAACCAGCATTCCTCCACTTGGGGGAGGGGGTAATGAATATAGATAGACACCAAACAGGTACCAGTAGCAAGAAGCCATAGTGACCAGAAAGGTATTTTCATTGGTAATGTTTTCCATGAAGACTTGGATACCTAATCCTCAGCTGATACACAGGTTGAAGAGAGAGCAGTTCCTTCAGAGACATAAATCATGATAAAAATTTCAAATTTTCAATGGATCATAATATTTGCAATACCACATACATAAGATATATATTTAACATTAATGGTGGCAATATCAGGGCACATGAATGAGAAAGGCATAATGGTATCAGAAACCCCGTAAATATATCACTAAGAGCATAAATTTCATCCTGGAATTACAAGATACCATGACAACAACTTAACACTTGGACACATATCGATTCACCATCTTCTTATTCAATATGTGTGACAGACATATTCAAAACCCTATTGCTTTTGTACCAGCCGTTTCTATAACCAGATAATTCCTTTACTATACAACATTATCATTTAAGGTCATTGGCATGTACATGAAGTAAGTCAATACTTACCTGGCATCTAGTAGGCCAAGGACATTTTAGAATTTTCATCTATTCCTAATAATTCTTCCCATCATTAATGGAAATTCCAATGGCACATTTTAGAGAAGCAAAACATAATTGCATGAAGGTGAATGCAGATAGTGAAAAAAAAATTAAACCATCAGATTTTGGCAACTGTGAAGGAACTTGAAATTTTTGCAACACCATCTTAAAGAAATATGAAGTAGAGTAATAGCCTAAGAAGCTATATGGTAAAAGACTGGAGCCCTAAAAAATCAGTAAATATTTATGGATTCTTAAGGGACATCCCCATTTCTCCTTAATTATTTGACATAAACGAACCCATTTGCACAACGAATGTGCTTTTACCTATAGAACAACACCCCAGTAACAACCAAAAAAAACAGACCTTTCTCCACAGGAATATAATGTTAGAAATAAAAGAATATAGACTATTTCAATACTTTTCCTTTTTTTACAGACTTGTCTTTGAGTCCTTGTTTTTTCCATCTTGCCAAGTCAGATTCCTGGATACTGGATCCTGATTCCCATGTAGCAACTGCCACTATGCATAGATATCAAGTATGTTCACCGTCTTACACTTACTGAAATAACACCAAAAACCTTCTCCACAGTAGTATGATGGTATCACTTAGCATATGGCCATGTACAGACCCTACAGGGACTTCTTTTTTATTAACTCGATCTAACTTTAAACATGGTTCAGCGCACAAACAAACTCCAGACATAGTCCCAGAAGTAAACCATTTTTACACGATTAAATTGCAACAAGGGAAAGGAACTTCAACATTTTTTTTCACCTTGGGTGGAAAGCTGAAGTTGGAATCAAACCCAATCAGAAGGCAGACTTTCAGCCAAAACTCAGAATACCGGTACCTCTTAAAATGTGTGGATTAAATGCCATCAACCCCGAACCCCCATTTCCCCCACATAGCATTATGTCACCATGGCCACCAACCCACCAATCAAGACAGTTCACACGGTGGACCACATCTAGAATGGGTCAAGTACCAATGTACCATTTGTTAATCATGTTTGTTCCTCCAGCCATCCAAAGTTGTGGATCTACAATCTATGGTTACTGAAATGCCAAACACCAACAAGCAGGGACTCACCACAGTAACTCCATCTGTAAGGAGTTTTTCTTCTCTAAAACCCGGAAAAGAAACAGAAAATATAACTAGGAATATTCAAAGGGGAGTCCAAAAAAAATGTAGCCACTGATTAAAAAGCAAAACATTAGTTTGAGTTTATCCACATCCCATTGAACTCAAAATGGAAAAAATGGAAGAAAAGCATAGAAGTAACTGTAGCAATTATCTTACAAAAATAGATAACGAGAATATAGGTTCCAGGAAAGTTTTAAGGAGAACAAAGTAAACGAATGAAGATACCAGGTTCGAATCAAAACTACAAGTAAAAGATAGCATAAAAAGCAGGACAGAAATCGACCCAACAATTAAAGAGGAATATACAGACTACAATGTGGAAGAAACGGAAGCCAAAACAAAACAGAGAAGGAGAAAGAAAGAGAGGAAAAGGAAAACAGAAAAACAAATCAGAACAAACAAACAAGCTACGACATATAATCTCATATAGACAGAGATGACAAATATAAGGAGAACAGAGAAACAAACAAAGCAACTGAGAGAAAACCAGAAGAAAGAAAAGAAATACAAACCCTGACCTGATACAATTGCCATCCGCCTGAAATGCATCCGGCTTCGATCCCAACTTCATAAACTTCATCCCCCCAATACTCAGAGCACAAAACCCAGAAAAAGAAACACCAAAACAACCAAAAAAACAGCCCGGAAAACCGCTTTCGAACACTAAAAGGAACTCTTTTCTTCACTCGCAAACAACCTCTCAGACTTTCAAAAATCCACCAGACCCAACAAAATCCAGGAACCCACTCTCGCGTTCTTCCCGAAACCCAACACCAATACACACCACTCTATTGCGCCGTCCTTTGCCGCCCCTCTTTAATTCTCCGTAGAAAGAGATAAAACCGCCTGACCATCCCCCAAACACAAAAAAAAACCCACTTCGACCCCTCAGAAACGCGGTTTCACGCGGCAAAACCGCTACTACCAGACTGAAGCATTTGTATTAAAGAGACCCAGTGCTTGTGGGGCTATTTCCGAATCAAACAACGCTCAATCCCTGCCGTCCGCCTTGGTTTCCGAACCATTTCCACATCGACGATGACGACGAAATGTGTGTTCGATAATTCTCCCTCCCCCTTCAATTGTCGCCGCCTTTGTATTAAATCACGCTGATCCACGAAGATTTCATGGAGTAAATCTCGAGATCGTTCCTTTCCTCTCTCTGTGATCTCTCTGTATCGCCTCAGACCCTCTCTCTCTCCCCCTCTCTGAGATTTGCAGGAAAAAGCAAAAGAAACAGAGAGTGTTTTTGTGTGTGTATGCATCACTGTATAGGGAGTAGGGGACTGTGTACAGAGGCCCTCAGAGCCTTTATGGAGCTTTATGCCGTTAAAGCACGCCACCCTTTTTCTGACCAAAATACCCTCGTCTGTTACATTTATTCCCTAGCCTACTCCTTCCCTCCTAACGCGGGCCCATGCTTCCATGTGGAGTCATGAGAAAAGATGATCCTAGCCCTCCAATTCGGTCCGATCAATGAATGGTTCAGATTGGTCAGTAGTGTGGTGTGATTGAGACCACACTATCAATTGTTCTTTGGATTTTCTTGGATGCTTTTTGTGGTAGACATAAGACAGTGGATCATCCAACCAGATGGCTCACGTGCAAGGCTATGGGACCCATAGTTTCAAATGGTCTCTCCCAGGAAAACAAGGACTGGTCGAAGGTCAAACTCAACATGGGGTCCAGTTGAATGTGAGAAATCAGGGGCATGTGGGTGGGACACATGGGCCCACAGGACCCACCTTGTACATATACCAGTTCCCAAAGTCAACCTGATCTGATGACCATGACCACCAGATCTCTGATCTCTCACATTCAAAGGAAAATTATAATATTATTAAAATAGATAATTAATATCCAGATCCAGGGATCACAAGCTCACAGTAGTCTCCCTCCCATAGTTTCGTTTGAATGGGTATGTCAGTCTGACAGCCCAGGTGGGAATTTTGGCCGTTGAAAATGGGTCGGGTCAGACAGAAAACCCACATGGGTTTGGGTCCCCAGATGACCCACTTATTGGGTTGGTTGATCAAGTTTCAAGCAGTTAGAACTTAGAAAGGATGCCCATGTACACTGATTTTGACCTTGACTTCCACAGATTGGATCAAGGTGGATGAAAAACCCAGATCCGAAAGAGATCCATTGGATCCATATACTGGTCCAAATGTCCAGATTAATTGAATTGGGTTGGGTGGATCAATCCAAACTATTGACAATGACCCTAAGGCCCAATCTCTCTCCATTGAACTTCATCCAAGAGGGAAGGTGCAATGGATGCATGGAGCCCATAACTAATAATGGAAAGGACCTGCCTACTTCACCACACTAATTAATTATCTTCTAAATATTTACAAAATATCAAACTAGTAATTGGAAATCTATATAGAAAGCTCAGAAATTTTCGATCAACAAATTTGAAAAATGAAAATGTTAGTTCTATATTTAATGTTTAAATAGTTTCATTAATAAGTGAATATTAATAGGTTAGTATTTTTACTTTTTTAATAGCAGAAAAAGAAGCATTAGATATTAGAGATTCACTAGATCCCATACTATGACCTCCCTTGGCTAGCCGTAGCCAATCAGCAATAGGAAATGGATTACTTAATCTATCATCAATAGTAATAGGAAAAAAAAAAACAAGGGTGAATACTTAGGGGTGGTATACTTTAACTCATTAATGAGGGTTGACTGTGAAAGTAAAATTACTAAATTGCTCATTTGAGTGTTTATGATCGACATCAATAAATATAAAAATGATGAAAATATAGCCATTGTAAATCGTTCTCAAAGTGTTGATGAAACATTCAATTCTCGATAGGGGTGGCCACAAGTCAAGTTTTTTATTATGCCACAAGTCAAGTTTTATACATATATAATAAATATAAAAATATTATGCATAATAAAAAAATATTATATATAATAATAATAATTAATTCTTATAATTTTTTTATTTTTTATTTTTATAAAATGTTTGGCTCACAGTTGTGCTTGAACTGAGCTGAGCTCAAATTTACGAGCTTTTTGACTCAAGCTGAATTCGAATTTAAGTATTTAACTCGAATCGAGCCTGATGATTTATTGGCGAGCCAAGTTTGAATAACTAGATATTTTCGAGATGTTCTCAAGATGAATGTTGAAAGAAGTTAAGAGAAACATATAACAGTTAGGATTTTAGAAAAAAGAAACTAAGTTAAAAGAGCAAATTAGTTTCATAAAATAGTTTAAGGTTTGAAAAATATTTAAAAGAATATTCTATAAAATTAATTAACAAAATGCTTATCATGTCTATGGGGTCTTTGTTTCAAAACAAGTGTTGAGAGTCCCTAAGTACAGAGTGGCTGTCAAAAACCTAAACAAGAATTTAAAAATAACAGCTTTTTCTTTGCTAGAAAAGAAAATTAATAATTTAAATACTAATAATTAAGCTAATAAAAACTCAACCTCCCCACAATTATGAGCTTATAAATTGCACAGATCAAATGGCAAATAAAATAACATTAATTTGTTCGAAGATTTTAATGCCTCTGTCCACTAGAGTTAGGACAGCATAATTAATGTGAAACTGTATATTGAATGGATTTTCAACTAACTTTTTATGAATTTCTTATTTTAATTGAACAGTCTCAACAGGACAAATATTTTCCAAGGTCTTAGTCCTGAGGACGTCTCGACAAGTGTAAACGGTCATTTATGAACGTTAGGACTCCAAAATCCTTTCTCAGTCTAACAGCTAACAAGGACAGATTGATTACAACTTATCAACCAGTGTAAAGTTACTTTGATTATAAAATATAAATTTACATGTTAAGGAACATGAAAAAATTGATGCATAGGGTATAAAAGGGAACTATTTGGTGGTCATATGCAATAAAAATAGTGCTGATGTGGCAATCAAAATAGGTTCATGGTGCATATTCAGCTATTACTCTAATGCCACCTGGCAAAATTTCAACCAGTAGCTCTTTTTATGCAATGAGAGTCGATTTTTCTAGCCTTGCTTCCCAAGTCAACTCAACAAAGCTGTGGCTTGTTATTTCATCAATCTTTGGCAACACAGATCTTTGGTTGCCATTCTACCCTACCAAGCTTTCTTTTTTTAACTCAGCATTGCTTAGTTTAAAAGGATACACCTGAAACAGTCTTTTTTCTAGTCCCTACTATGTATGATTTTGTTTTTTAAAACAAAAATAATTGTCAAATAAGAATAATATATCTATTGAGCTCCTATTATGGTGGGACAAAATTTTTTTACACACCCAAAAGTCAAAATTAAATCAATCATCTTTAAGATTGTCGAGTACAGTTAGTTTATTATTACTTATTGAGAGTGGGTAAATTTCTAATTTCACCTGAGGTTCAAAATATCGATACATCCTAATACCGCAGTGTGAATGATATACTTTGTATCACATAGATACACACTTCTTTTTTTATTTATTTTTTTTAAATTTGAAGGAGGGTATATTTAATATAACATATAAAATAAGGGGTTTGAGGAATTATCCTTAGAAAAGGTGTTGATATTAAGGGTGTCAATGGACTGGTTTTGGATTGGACCCTGTCCAGTTCAAAATCAATTTAGATAGATTGGACAAACCAACAAGACATATTGGATTAGACTAATCCGGTCCAAATTATTTATTAGATTGGATTGGACCTAGTCAATCCGTAACAAATTTATATTGGATTGGGTTGGATTAAGCCAATACCTGATCCATTGATATGAGATAAGAATATATGTGTCAATGGACTGGATTTGGATTGAAACCAATCTAAATCAAAATGAATTTGAACAGATTGAATGGTTCAAACATTAAATTGGACCGATCCAAATTGGTCCAAAACATTCATTGGATTGAATTGGACCTGGCCCATTTATAATGGACTCACATTAGACTGGATCGGATTGAACCAAATTCAGTCCAATTGACACCTCTAATCGATATGATAAGATATATCGGATAGAGGGCATATCATGTCAAAATTTTGAACCTTGACTATACGGGTTAGATTTTCCAAGGAGAATGTGAACGCATAGAATATTTTTATTTTGTAAAACAATTTAATACTATTGGCAAATACCCCCACCCCTTTTTCTTGTTTATGCATGAAAACTGAACAGTCTACCTAAGAGTTTCGTCTGTATAGACCCATGATATGCTACAAACAACATGTGTACAATTACCAGATATGGGTTCTATGCACTTCAATCAATTATTAATCCACACAGTTACCAGATATGGGTTGCTTGTGTATTTTCCTTATTGGCCTTTGCAGCCTACTGTACTCGTCTTATTTGTAACAGTGTCAACTCATCTGGATATGATTCTATTTGAAGGGACCAGATAGGGCAGAAACAAAATCATACACAGCGGATTTGGACTCGTATTCAACGCGCAATCCACTATGTAAGATTTTGTCTCCAACCGATTTGGACTCGTATATAAATGATCTTATTATTATATATAGAAGAAAGCAATGTTATTGCCATCAAGGTTTTTAAAACTGGATAGGACATGGGACGTTCTGGATCTGGTTATGGGTTAAATGGTTTGATCGTCTGGTCTGAACAGATGGTTTATTCCTAGGTTGAATGATTTGACAGTTCAACTGCTCGAATTAATGGTTTACTGACTTCCGCCACCACTGCAATGCTTCTGGGTTCGAACGGGGAAGGAGAGATAGTAGATCACCGCTGCCCCTCGCACTGGTTTTCTTGCCACCGCCGCCTCGTCTGCCCCTCGCACAGATTGCCGATGGTAACGGGGAAGGCACTGGTCCTCTCCCTCCTCTGTTCGGCGTCACTGGTTCTTGTAACAGTGGTTTCTCAATTTTTTCCACCTTGGCCGAACGGTTTTGGTACGACTCCAAATCCACGATTTTGGGATATGACATCCCACATTTTTCTCAACCCATCCCCCTATTTCCCTCAAAACAAATGAGAAAAAAATGAATATTTTTCGAATATTTCCTTTTCTCATCCCCACCCCACAAACCAAAGGGAGCCTTAGGTTGCTTTCCGTATTTCCATTGGATCCTTGATAAAATTAACTCATTATTTATTGCTTGTATCATCATCATCAACATCATCTTTTAAACCTTGTCCCAACTATATGGTATTGGCTATATAAATCCTGTTTGACTTTGTTCACTGTTGCATTCATTGTTAAATTATCAATGTCTAATGCTATGTTTGGTTAAACTTCTACTTTTGTACTTTTAATAGTATGAAAGTATAAAATACATAAACAATTTTTACTTTGGTATTTTTGTTGTGAAAAC